TGCCGGCCTGGGCGAGGCGGCCCGTGCCCTGGCGGGGCTGAGCCTGCCCCCTGCGGCGTCGCCCTGGCGGAGCATGCCCTGATTTGCTGCCTCGCCGGAGCCCCGTCCCCGCCATCAGGGTGCGCGTTGCAGGGCGTAGGGGAGCCTCTCCCGCTATAATAAATGATAGAGGATACCATGACTTTGCTGTCTCTGCTGGGCCGGATCATGCGTTACTTCTTGCTGCGGCCAGAGACCCTGTTCTTGCTATGCATCAGCCTGGCCCTCTGGAGTTACTTCTTCCACACGGACGAGGTGAAGACCATCGTCAAGTCCAGCCGGGACGCCGTCAAGATGGTGAAGGGCAAAGTGGCTGAGATCATGCAGAATGACCGGCTGGGAGGGCTGGACGTGCTGGATGCCGAGTTCTCCAAGACCTGGGAGTTCAAGAGCCACAATGTGGCCGTCTACTCCATCCAAGGCCGGAGGGACCACATGGAGGACAGGTTCGAAGTGATCACGGACCTGGTCAACAAGACCCACCCGTCTATCTTCGGGATATTTGATGGGCACGGAGGAGAGGCAAGTTTGGGGTGGGGGGTGATCTGAGTCTGGTGGGGGAGAAGATGTGACCTGTGACTGGGGGGGAAGGGGGGTGTCTGGGCTGTGTCCAGCTCACCCCACTCCACAGCTCTTGGGAGTGGTTGGGAGGCTTCCGGCACCTCTGCAGCCTAGGAGACAGTTTAGTATAACTAAAAGCTGGTTTCCACATGAACAGAATAATGATGGCGAGGCCAGATGGGTTGGAGTTACCTGGTGCTAAAGTAGGGTGAGCTGGACAAAAGGCTGGTTCCCCCTTCTCTCTGGGATTTGGCTCAGCAGCACCAGTGGGAGGGGAAGATGAAGGGGGAACTTGCTTTTGAAAAAAAGAATAAATGTGGCCAATGCCTTTTTGTGCATATAAGGGTACATTTGTATTAGCAACTGACCCTTCTTGCTGGGATCAGTGAAACCCACAGAGCTTATCCTCATGATCTCTTGTATCTCTCCACTGATGGCAGTTGTCCTGTTGATAACTTGTTCACTTTTGGGGAGGAAATTCAGGAAAATTTCCTTCATCCTGAAAGGTTCTGTGTTTTGGTGCTCAGTCTCTACCTTTCTGGCCATTGACATTTCCTTTGCACAATATTCTGTGGTCTGATTATAACTTGGTGAGGTATATCATTTACCTCAGGCAGCAGCTGCGACAACCTTCTGTTGCTTGCTGCTTCTTTAGGAATGTATCCTTGCTCTCTTGCTTTTGTGTAGCACACAAAGACCTCATTCTGGTAACTGTGAAAAAGAAATGCAGAAGGAAGGTCCTATTGTGACACCTTAGCTACAGCCTGCCTTGTGTGGGATTAG